TCTTAATGAATAGAATGATTTGTTCTAATGGTGTTTGTAAATAGGATCAAAAGTCCACTTCTTGTACAGCAATTAACCACTAAGAAGAATATATGCAATGTATTATTTGTTGAAACTGTACTTCTGATTGGATTTGAAACTGTCTCATTGCTATCTGTTTATCAATAAAACTTTGAAAAAAAATAGTCTAGTTTGAACTTCATAGTTATGGACCAGTATTTTCAATATTTTCTGGCCTACTAATAAAGTCTTTAAGCCATCACAAATTATCTAAAGCAAATAGGAGGGGCCGGGGAGATGGCTCAGTGGAATAAGTACTTCCCTGGCAAGTGCAAGGGCCTGAGTTCAATCCCTGGTTCCACAAAAAATAAAATAAAATAAAATAAAAAATAATTAAATTAAACAGGGATGAGGATATAACTCAGCACACAGTGCCTGCCTGCCTGGCAAGTACAAGGCCATGACTTTGATTTCTAGTACAAGAAAAATGAAAAAAGAATTATCGGGCTGGGGAGATAGCTCAGCAGCATAAGCACCTGCATGGCAAGTATAAGATCCCAAGTTTTGTCCCTGCTACTTCATGTTACACCAGCCTTGGAACCTTGGGCTCACCATACCGCCCCCAGAACTGGGCATGGTGGCTCACACCTGTAATCCCCAGCACTCGGGAGGCTGAGACCGGAGGATCATTACAAGTTTGAACTGCGTAGCAAGGTCCTGTATCAAATGTTAGAAAAACAAATAATGCATCATTTGAGTATTAAGTATATATACTTATTAATTAGTTCTATATTGAGTCATTGAAGTTAAATAAGCTATCTTTAGTTTCATAAGCTAATTAGGCATAGGGCTAATATTGGAATAGAATCATGATAGTTCTTGACATTTTCTTAATGTTGTTTAGCTTTATTTATATTTTGTTTTTAAAGAAAGGGAAACACATTGCAGCGGTCCCCCTGCCTCAGCCTCCTCAGTGCTGAGATTACAAGTATGCATCACCATGCCCAGCCTCAAATTAACTCTTACCTTTTCCACTTTAATCTTTTTGATGTTTATCCCCAATCTAAATAATTTTCAGGGACTGTGTGACAGAATTGGGATAAATGTACACAATTTTGCATAATAACAGTGGATCACTGTTGCTTCTGTTCCTGAATGTTACTGCAGGTATTCATGAACTTGTACCTGTGTTTTGATTTTTTGTTATGTTTTCTGTGGCTAATGATACAGTGAGGTCTGGGAAGAATAGATTAAATATGGTACTACAGGTCTAAAGAACTACTTTTATGAAATTAATATAACTGCTTTAACACATGATAATTTTGCCAATTTTCTTTTAGCTATCAGCTGCTAGTGTGAGTAATTGTCCTACAAAAAAATACATACCAGCTATTACTTCTACCCCAACTGTTAACGAAAATGAGACTGGTGTAAGCAAATCTGTTTTTGAGCCTGATGATTCTTCAGTAGTGGATAATGAGGTATGGTATAATAAATTCTTTTGTCTCCATATAGCCTTAAGTAACGTTTTAAGAAGGGAAATAGTATGTGTGAAACATGGTGTTTATTACTTGAGTTAGTCAGCTTAACATTACTGTAACAATACCTAATAAAAACAACTTGAAGGAAGAGAGGCTTAGTGTGACTTACAGTTTTAGAGATTGTAGTATGTATTACTTGGCCCTTTTGCTTTTTGGTCTGGTGAAGCAGAAACATCCTGGTGAAAGAATGTTGGACAAAGCCTGCCTATCTCATTGGCATCATGGAAGCAGAGTGGGAACGAACGTGTACTGGCTAGCTTCTTCCATATTTTTTCCATTTGGGCTCAGCAATTTGGCTGATGCTGCCCATACTCTGGGCAGGTCTTCCCTATTAGTTTGGTGTCCTTCATTGCTAGTTGTCTATAGAAAAACCCTATATGCATATCCAGAAGTTATACTTTGATACTTTCTAAGGCTTGGTTTCTGCTTTTTTTCCCTTCTCGGGGTGGAGAGTGTTTTTTGTTTTTGTACCTTATTGGGAATTGAACCCAAGTCTTTTTCATTAAGCTACATCCCCAGCTCTTTTTTATTTTATTTAGTTTCATGAAGTCACTAAGTTACTCAGGCTGAACTTGAAGTTGGCATCCTTCTGCCTTAACCTCCTCGGGTACATAAATTAGGGAGTGTACCACAGTGCTCAGCTAGGAATTTCTTAATTCTATCAAGTTAGCAAGATTAACTACCACATTATTTGGTTGTGGCCTTTGTTTTGTTTTGTTTTGTTTTGAGGTGTTGGAGATTAAACCTAGTTAGGGCCTTGCACATGCCAGGCAAGTGCTCTATATGACACATGTTTTTATATATCTCCCCCCCCCATTTATATATTTGGTACAGGGTCTCACTATGCAGCTCGGACTCGTAGTGATCTTCCTGTTTCCAGCCTCCCCAGCACTGGGATTACAGGCATGTGCCACCATGCCCAGAAAGGGTCATGGGCTCAGTGTGTCCCCGGGACAAGGCTGGCATGGCATGCATTACCAGGGGTCAGGCACTTAGTTCACTGAGCTATCTTGCCGACCCTGGAACATGTTTTTAAATTGTGTGTTTTGTGCAGTTTAGTTGGGGGAACAAATAACTTTTTTCCAAGAAATACTTATGTTTTAAGAAACTTATGTTCTTTATTAGTCCAAGTGGCAGAATTATTTATAAGAGGATAGTTGTGCCACATACTTATCATTTCAGCTAGAAAGATCTGTTCTTTGGCCTTTTATTTATTTTGTTTTGTTTTTTGTATTTGATACAGTGTCTCACTACACAGCTCTGACTTGTAGTGATCCTCCTGTTTTCAGCCTCCCCAGCTGAAATTATAGCTCTGGGATTATAGTTGTGCACCACCACACCTGGTCTCAGTGGCTGGCTCATTGTGCCCAGGGGCAGGGCTGACATGAGGCCGGGTATGGAACTGTGGTCCTTGGGCTTACCTAAGCAGGAGCTTAGTCCTCTGAGCTGTCTCTCTTGCCCTCTGGCCTTTTATTTATATATGGTGTAGAAAATGTCATAAATTTTTCTGAATGGTCTGTGAAATATATTTGGGTGCTACTTATTGACATTAAGAGTTACTGTCTTTTTCTTATCACTCAAATACTATTTTAAGTGATAATATGGATATTTTATCCATATTTTATTTGTGGATATTTTATTATAAAAAGGATAGAACCAAAGTAGAGAACTGTATGTTAGTAACAAGATTCTGTAAAGTTGTTATTCTTCAAGGCTTCAGCAAATCCAGATATTTATTTGATTCTGCTTTTTAAAACAATAGTTGTGGTCAGACATGAGAAGACATGAAATGTTGAGGGAAGAGCTGCGACAGAGAAGAAAGCAGCTTGAGGCTCTAATGGCTGAACATCAAAGGAGGCAAGGTCTAGCTGAAACTACATCTCCAGTGGCTGTGTCATTAAGAAGTGATGGATCTGAGAATGTGTGTACTCCTCAACAAAGTAGAACAGAAAAGTAAGAAGGTTATTTAATCTTTTAAAAATACCACATACTTAAAATCTATAGGCAAGGCAGTCTTACTTACCCTTAGCATTATAGCACATCTGTTATTGCCTTCAGTCTGATGGAAATACCTTTGTGCCTCAGATTAATTGAATCTGGCCATTTTGTCTTCTCACTTCTCATAACATCAGCTTTTTTTATTTGCAGTTACTATGGCATTTGACGAAATGGTGATACAAATTTTTGTGTCTGTAAGCCTTTATTTTTTTAGTTTTTAGCTTATAAAAAGAAATGCTTGATTTTTTATGATGTTTTCTATTACATTGCAAATAAGGACTTTTTGTTTGTAGGTTCCTGAGGATCATAAAACATTTTACTGCATGAGACATTTAGTTTTAGGGGTTAAGTTTGAAATTTCCATACTTAAAATATTTCTAAGAGTTGTTCATATGTGAGATTATTTTTTTAGCTGTATAATAACATTTTGATCTGAAATCTTAAAATCTAGATATTTTGCAACTGTATTTGTTCGTCTCATGCCATTACTAAAACATTATTTTCCCTCTCTTTCCCTTAGAAGAATTTTTCCTATTCTTAGAAACCAACTGTACATAATTGGTTAAAGTGTGTCTTCTGGGTAATGTTTGTCTTTTTCATAGATTTCTTTGGTTAGTTTTGATGAACATCTAGCTTTAGAACCATTGGTCTAGAGTTGTATGTACATTCTAATGGCAACGAGTATATATTGGTGGCTATTTAAATAAAATTAGGTTAAAAATTCATTTATTGATGAATTGTTTTGTGGTAGACAAACTAAGTACTCTAGGTGATAGCAGTCAGGATAGTACCATTCATCTCATACAGTTACTATGATTAAATATAAAAATTTAGACCTGTGTTTGATAGAGTCTGACCCGGAATAGACTATATTTAACTCATCTTCAGAATGGTATCTGTTATGTCTCATAATAGAACAATGGCAACTTGGGGAGGTTCTACTCAGTGTGCACTAGATGAAGAAGGAGATGAAGATGGTTACCTTTCTGAAGGAATTGTTCGGACAGATGAAGAAGAAGAAGAACAGTATGCCAGTTCCAATGACAACTTCTCTATGTATCCAAATAGTGTGAATCATAACTCCAGTAGTGTAAAGGAAACCAAAAATAGGTTAGTTTCAGTGTTTTCATTTTTTACTTAGTTTAAGTATATCAGGTCTTTCTGACTGACGCCAGACGGTTCTATAATTCTCAAGACCAACTTAATAAGTGTCCTAAAATTTAATTCAGTTACAGTACTAAAACTCAAGAGTTAGTATAGAGCTCACAAATGGAAAGATTCATATCCACCAGAGTGTCTTCATTTCAGGTACAAGAGCCTGTTTCCCAGGGTAACTGCACTTCTATCTGACTTGGCTACATATTTAGTAGTTCCCATGACCTCTCTTTAGGTTTGATAACTTACAACTTACAGAACTCAGGAAATATATGTACTTATCGGTTTATTATAAAGTGTTATCCACATCAGGAAGAGATTTAAGGGCAATACATGAAATATGCAGGAATTCTCTGTCCTCTCTGACCAAGCTGCTCCCCTGACACTTTGATACGCACGCCAATCCAGAAGCTGTCTGAACTGTACAGAGATTTTTATGGAGGTTTTATTCTCTCTTCACTAGGAGAAAATACCTGACACTCTGAAACTTAAAGGGGAGGCTTATTTTGGCTCTCAGTTTAAGTATGGTGGAAGGACATGGTAGAGAGATGCTGTTCAGTGTGTGAGAGCCAGGAGAAAAGGAAAGAATCAGACACAGTTTAGAGCTAACCCATAGCTTTTTTTTTTTTTTTTTTTTTTCTGTCTTTTTGAAACAGTCTCACAGTTCAGGCTGGCCTTGTGCTCACATGTTAGCCCAGGCTGCTCTGGAACTCCCAATGATCCTCCTACTTCAGCCTCCCGAGTGCTGCAATTACAGGCATGCACCACCACATGTGGCCAAAACCATCACAATTATGTAGGCATTAATGATCGAAAACAACCCATGGCACCCTGTCCTTCCCTGAAGTTCAGGGGATAGGTCTGAAAGTTACAACCCTCTAATGACCTAGCTTATACTTCTGGTGACCATTCTTCCCCCTCCCTGAGTTACTGTTATTAGTGTTATTGAAAGGGAATTATTATAAATAACAAAAGATGCTTTACAACTTAAGAGATTCTGAGGGCTTTAGGATCTCTGTGCCGACCACCAAAGACAAAAACTAGACTCATATTTATATGTAAGGTATATCAGAAGGGTGCTGTGTACTAGATCCCAGATAGGCTATACCAAGATTCATACATAAACTTTCATCTTCACTTCTGTTTTGGGGGAATTAAGGAAGATACTGAAAATTAGTATCTCAGCAAAGATATTAATTGCATTGCCAGGTACAGTGGTGTGTGCTTATAATCCCATATATAGTAATACCTTGGTTATCAAATGTTTTTGTTTGCAGTTTGGTTTGCTAACAGAAGCATTTGGAAATTTTTCTTCAGTTTGCAAACACTGCATCTAATGAAAAACAGAACTGTAGCTGTCTTTCCTATACATACACAAAGATGACCATCTTCCCAAAACTGTAGAATAAATTAAGTTCATAAACTGAGGTTGTAATGTACTTGGGAGACTGAAGTGGGAAGATTACTTGAGCCTAAGAATTTGAGGGCAGCCTGGGTAACTTAGTGGGCCCCTGTCTCAAAAAATAAGGTAAATAAAAATTAAAAATATTAATTGCATTGCTATTTATAAAAGTGAAAAATGGTTAAGTAGATGTAATAATTCTACTTCATAGAATGTTATGTCCTTATACTAAAGCATATATTTTTATTTGCATGAAGAGGAAATGCTTGCAAAATAATAAAATGACTTAAGACTTTAAATCTTGTGTTAGGTGGAAGAACAGTCGCCCTTTTTCAGCTGATGGAAATTATCGTCCACTAGCCAAGACAAGACAACAGAATATTAGTATGCAGCGGCAAGAAAATCTTCGATGGGTGTCCGAGCTCTCTTATGTAGAAGAAAAAGAACAGTGGCAAGAACAAATTAATCAGCTAAAGAAACAACTTGATTTTAGTGTTAACATTTGTCAGACTTTGATGCAAGACCAACAGGTAAAACTTGCCATATTTCTAAATTTTTTATTTGTTTGCACCATTTTTGAAGCAATACAAATTTTTCTAAACTCATCAGTAACTATTAACAAAAATTTTCTTTCAAATAGACTCTGTCTTGCTTGCTACAAACTCTCCTTACGGGTCCTTATAGTGTTATGCCGAGCAATGTTGCATCTCCACAAGTACACCTCATTATGCACCAGTTGAACCAGTGCTATACACAGCTAACGTGGCAACAGAATAATGTTCAGAGGTAATTGTGTCTTATAAGTATTGAGACTATATAGTTAATACCAAACTAAAAAATTTTACTTTTTTATTTATTTGGTACAGGGTCTCACTATACAGCTTAGACTTGTAGTGATCCTCCTGTTTTCAGCTTCGCCAGTGCTGGGACTACAGGCGTCTGCCACCACACCTGGTTTTGGTGGCTGGCTCAGCATGAGTGGGCCAGCACAGCATTTGGTGCTAAGGATCAAACTCTGATCCCTGCGCTTGCCTAAGCAAGCTAAGCAAGCGCTTAGTTCACTGGGCTCTCTCACTGGCCCTTACAGTTATCTATTATGAGAAAAGAGCAAGAGCCAAATTACATATTCAGGCTTTCTCTACTACCTGAGAATTTTATAATCAGTGATCTGCATAATGTTCCTCACTGATACTGTTCACAAAATTTATTAAATCATATCCTTACAATGGGTAAATTGTACAATGTATAAATTATTACTATAATAAAGTTATAAACAAAAACTAATTTTAGTTATACTGTACCTGCTATGTGACAAGTCTGTGTTCAAGTTTTGTTCCAGATGCTGTTAAGTCAACTGAGCAAGGAAATATTTGTTATAGTAAATGTGCTATTGGATCATTTCTTATATATAACAGAATATATATATACACATACATGTGTATTCTTTCTAAATATACTTTTGTAGATGATAATTTAACTGATTTTTAATTATTGACTTCCTAAATTTTTGTAGGTTGAAACAAATGCTGAATGAACTTATGCACCAGCAAAATCAGCACACAGAAAAACCTGAGAGGAAGGAAAGAAGCAGTAACACATCACACTCTCCTTCTCCCGGTTTATTTTGTCCTTTCAGCTTTCCAACACAGCCTGTAAATTTGTTTAATCTACCAGGGTTTACTAACTTTTCATCGTTTGCACCAGGTAGGTGACTACCTAAACAGAAAGTATATGTAAGGGTTTTAGATTATTTGTCCATCAATTGATGGACTTTTCTACATTGTTTCTGGCAATAAAACCCTAAGCTTAGTATTGTTGCTAACAAAATGAAGTAAATTACCTATAAAAGATCTGCTTCAACTATTTATTAAGAGGTAAGGAAATTAAACTTTCTGTTGGCTTCTGTCCAGCAGGCACTATGTATGACGCTATGAAAATAAAGATGACTAAATTAGATAGCACTTTTGGAGAAGCACTGTATCTTGATAGTGAACATATTTAGCTTTTTATTCATACTTTTTTCTGTACTCGCATGCGAGCCACTATGTAAATTACTGATATTAAAAGATGAGTGAGACTAACCATTGAAGGAATTAAGACTGTAGTGAGAAAGTTAATAATAAGTCGTTAGGATACAGTGCCGTAGGTCCTGTAGGGTATGACTAGGGGAGAGTGAGTAAATTAGACTTTGCAGAAAGGTTTTATTTAAACTAAAGAATGAATATACTTTATTTCCAAAGAGATTAAAAGGGAAAGAGCTTTCTACTCAGTGAAACTACAGTTAGAAAGCAGTGAAATAAACTACACTTCAGGTATTTAGGGGTAAGTATCACTAGTGTTTAAGGCCAAGGCAGGAACAAGAGATGTGGCTGAAGAATGAGAGACCTTTTGTAATGTGCAAAAGAAGCTTAAAGTATTGCACATAAGAGAGGGCCCTTGAAGGGCTTTGAAAAGGGGATAATATGAAATTTATATTTTATGGTGATAAAAGTATTGACGAGAAATTAAGGGAAGGAGCTAAGAGTAACTCGTGAATAAGACTTTTACAGTAATATAATGGGAGGAATGATAACTTAGGGCATTAGCAATAGCAATAAAAAGGGATAGTTAAAAAGACATTATATGGTGAGATAGCTCAGGGGTCTAAAGTGCCTGCTTAGGTAAGCTTAGGCAAGCATACAGGGACCGTGGTTTGATCCCTGGTACCACATGCCTTGCCAGCTCTACCTCCAGGGTGGGCTGATTCAGCCACAAAAAAAAAAAAAAAAAAAGAAAAAGAAAAGAGAAAAAAAAAAAAGACATTATAGAAAAAGAGCAAAATAAATGACCAGTTGTATGAAGTGAATCGTGAAAGAGAAGTTGAAGATGTTTGCCCGGAAATGTAGGGGGAGAGAAAGGGTAAGGGCTTTTGTCAGTGGTAAATATCCATAAAGCACAGTGTGTTTTCAAAGAATAACATTAAGAAATTGAACAAGCCATTTTAGTTCTTCAACGTTAATACTGGAAGGAAATGTTGACTCAAGTGTGAGAGGGTAGCTGGGATTGAACTCAGGGTCTTAGGCATGCTTAAATTAGTTTTTAAATGATGAATGAGAAGCTGTACATGCTGGTCCTTTTCACCGTATGCCAAACTTGTACAAAGACTTAATTCTTCGTATACTAGTTCAGTCTTGTGAAGCTGTACTGAGCACTTTCTGAGAGTAATCTTTTGCAACCTCTGATACATAGCACTATTTGGTAAGTACTTCATTATGTTCTACTTTCCTAGTTAGAGTAGAACATAAGCTTTGGAGTTATGTAGACCTGAAACCTAACCACCTCTTTTTGTTACACATCTAAGCCTATATTGTCATTAGTAAAATGAATATACCAATAGTACCAATTTCACACTGTTACTGTAGAAATACATGTGAAGTACCTACAGTTGAGTCTGGCACTCTTTAATCTGATAAGTATCAGGTACTACTATTTATAAATTCTAGTTCTTAAGGAGATAGAGATCTAATAGTCATCTTTGTATTACCAAGACTTAAAATGTAATAGGCTGAGTGAGCTGTAATTAAATAAATGAAGATTAAATACTGAATTTTTTTGTTTTGATGCATTTGAACAGAACGTGTGATTTCATTTTAAGACTGAAGACTAAATTTACTGTTCTTTATTGCTTTTACTTCTCAGGTATGAATTTCAGCCCTTTATTTCCTTCTAATTTCGGAGATTTTTCTCAGCATATTTCTACACCCACTGAACAGCAGCAGCCATTGGCCCAGAATCCTTCAGGGAAAACAGAATATATGGCTTTTCCAAAACCATTTGAAAGCAGTTCTTCTCTTGGAGCAGAAAAGCAAAGGTACTTGATTGTGAACATGATATTTGCTTTAACTTTTACTTTTGTAAAAAAACACTCACTTTGGTAACTGTGTAATAATATATAATTTAAAGTGCAATTAGGGTGATGTTTGTGATTGTTGACAGAGTTGGATGTGTGAAACTTTTACATGTTACTGAATATGACCAGGCTAGTAGGATATCTTCTGTCCTTGATTTGATGTCTGTCTTATTTTATTTTATTTTATTTTATTTTATTTTATTTGCGGAACCGGGGATTGAACTCAGGCTTTTGTGCTTGCCAGGGAAGCACTTATTCCACTGAGCCATCTCCCCGGCCCCGGATGTCTGTCTTTGAGGTTGAAAGTATTTACTGATTTAAAGCTAAACACGAGTATTAACTGATAGAGGATATTTGTTAAATGGAGGTCATTTTATTTGACTCATAGTGTCTAATTAGAATTATTTTCTAGAAATCATTCAAATATAACATTGAGTGCTATTGCATATATTTGGGATGTCTTTGGATGTTTTTGTCAGTATTAGGGATTGAACCTAGGGCCTCAGGCTTACTACTCTACCACTGAGCTACATCCCTATCCCTTTTTATTTGTTTGATTTTGAGACAGGCTCTTAACTAAGTTGGGTAGGCTAGCTTTGAACTTGCAATCCTCCTAGATCAGCCTCCTAGGTACCCTGGGGTTACAATTGTGTGCCTGTCTCTTCTAGGAAGTTTTGATGGTACATGGTATCAATCATAGGATTTTGTTCTATGTTTTCTAACATTTATTGTTTGATAATTTCTCAAATACCATTTCTCACACAAACAGTCTAAAAGATTAGTTAGAATGGTCAGGCCAGTAGTTCTCTAGGCATTTTTATGGCCATATAAATGATGTTTTTAATAATAATATGATTTAGCAAATTATTCTGATAGCCATCTGGTAAAAATTTGGAAAACTTCAAGGATTGAAATAATAGAGTTCATAGAGCCTAATAGTCTGTCAAAAATTGTGCTTTTTATTGAAAGCCTTTATATTACTTGCATTATATTTCCTTTTAGCTGTGTGATTAGGCATATCTCAACCTGTTAAAGTAAACATTTGGCACTGTTAATTGTTAAAATGTAGGTCTTTTTTCATGAAGGGTACAAGATCTGGCAGTGTAGTCTGTGTTGGTCTTGAACTCATTGTGTAGTCCAGACTGGCTTCGAACTCTGGGCATTCTCTTCCCTCAGCCTCCCAAGTGCTGATATTACAGATATGCATCACCACGCCTGGCTATCACTGTTAATTGTTAAATTATGAACTTTGGGGGATTTTGTTTCACTTGATTAACAAGTAAATCTGAGAATTCCTACTTTGTGGTTGCCTTTAAGAAACTTATGGGGGGACCGTCTAGGCGGCGCGGCAGTGGAGGAAGGCAAACTCATGCGGTGAGGAGTGGGGCTACATGGGGAGCGAGGGTCGGAGCCTAAGCTGCCCATTTGAAGGAGGCGTTCTGGGCTGCTCGAAGATTGGTGTGTCCATTTAATACAAGAAAATGGAAACTGAGCAGCCAGAGGAAACCTTCCCCAACACTGAAACCAATGGTGAATTTGGTAAACGTCCTGCAGAAGATATGGAAGAGGAGCAAGCGTTTAAATGATCTAGAGACACTGATGAGATGGTTGAATTACGAATTCTGCTTCAGAGCAAGAATGCTGGGTCAGTGATCGGAAAAGGAAGCAAGAACATTAAGGCTCTCCGTACAGACTACAATGCCAGTGTTTCAGTCCCAGACAGCAGTGGCCCCAAGCACATATTGAGTATCAGTGCTGATATTGAAACAATTGGAGAGATTCTGAAGAAAATCATCCCTACCTTGGAAGAGGGCCTGCAGTTGCCATCACCCACTGCAACCAGCCAGCTCCCGCTTGAATCTGATGCTGTGGAATGCTTAAATTACCAACACTATAAAGGAAGTGACTTTGACTGCGAGTTGAGACTGTTAATTCATCAAAGTCTGGCAGGAGGGATTATTGGGGTCAAAGGTGCTAAAATCAAAGAACTTTGAGAGAACACTCAGACAACAATCAAGCTTTTCCAAGAATGCTGTCCTCATTCCACTGACAGAGTTGTTCTTATTGGAGGAAAGCCTGACAGAGTTGTAGAATGCATAAAGATCATCCTTGATCTTATATCTGAGTCTCCCATCAAAGGACGTGTACAGCCTTATGATCCCAATTTTTATGATGAAACTTACGATTATGGTGGTTTTACCATGATGTTTGATGACCACCGTGGACGTCCTGTAGGATTTCCTATGCGGGGGAGAGGTGGTTTTGACAGAATGCCTCCTGGTCAAGGTGGGCGTCCCATGCCTCCCTCTAGAAGAGATTATGATGACATGAGCCCTCATCGGGGACCACCACCCCCTCCTCCTGGTCGAGGTGGCCAGGGTGGTAGCAGAGCTCGGAATCTTCCTCTTCCACCACCACCACCACCTAAAGGAGGAGATCTAATGACCTATGATAGAAGAGGAAGACCTGGAGACTGCTATGATGGCATGGTTGGTTTCAGTGCTGATGAAACTTGGGACTCTGCGATAGATACATGGAGCCCATCAGATTGGCAGATGGCATATGAACCACAGGGTGGCTCTGGATATAATTATTCCTATGCAGGAGGTCATGGCTCATATGGTGATCTTGGTGGACCCATTATTACTACACAAGTAACTATTCCCAAAGATTTGGCTGGATCTATTATTGGCAAAGGTGGTCAGCGGATTAAACAAATCCGTCGTGAATCGGGAGCTTCTATCAAAATTGATGAGCCCTTAGAATGATCTGAAGATCAGATCATTACCATTACAGGAACACAGGACCAGATACAGAATGCACAGTATTTGCTGCAGAACAGTGTGAAGCAGTATTGTGGAAAGTTTTTCTAAGACTAGTGAAGAACTGAAGGAGTCCTGCATCTTTTTTTTTTTTTTTTTTTTTATCTGCTTCTGTTTAAAAAGCCAGCATTCCTCTGCTTCATAGGTGTTCTGCATTTGAGGTGTAGTGAAATCTTTGCTGTTCACCAGCTGTAATGTTTTAGTTCCTTACAAACAGGCTTGGGGGGAGGGTGTGCAAAAACTAACATTGAAATTTTAAAACAGCAGCAGAGTGAGTGGATTTTATTTTTTGTTTATTGTTGGTGATTAAAAAAGTTTCCCCCCCATGTAATTATTGTGAACACCTTGCTTTGTGTAGTCACTGTAAACATTTAGGGGGTGGGACAGGGAGGAAAGTAACAATAGTCCACATGTCCCTGGCATCTGTTCAGAGCAGTGTGCAGAATGTAATGCTCTTTTGTAAGAAACGTTTTATGATTTTTAAAATAAATTTAGTGAATCTTAAAAAAAAAAAAACTTATGGGGACTGGGGAGCTGGCTCAGTGGAATAAGTGCTTCCCTGGCAAGCGCAAGGGCCTGAGTTCAATCCCCGGTTCCGCCAAAAAAAAAAAAAAGAAAGAAACTTATAACTAACCATGACTTTGTTAATTCATTTTATTAGTTGTCATAACCATTTTTCCCTATGAAATCTTTTATTACCCTGTAAAAGTGTTTATCAGTGCTTAAAGCAGTTCTTAGTGCACTTTCCATTGAGAAGATAGGTGAATGATTGTCCACAAGCAGTAAGCTTTTATTCACAGCGTCAGTGAATAGGACTTCCTACTGGAAGTTCACTATTTTGTTATTATCAGTGTCAAATGCTTGATGCACAAAAAAAAAAATTCTTGTTTTGTAGTAAGTATTTGTATCATTTTTAGTATGGGTATGTTATTTTACCATCACCATCATGGGAAGCTCACAGCTACAGCAGCTGTCCTGGCCCCATTTGCAGTTTCCTGAAAGACTTGGTTGTGTTAACATGTGGATTGCATTTGCTTTCTATAATTACAAAATATACTGAGAAAAAAATGGATAGTTTTGTTCCAGGTTTAAAGGTCATATAAAAACAGGCTGTATTTACCCTCTGAGTTGTAGGTTTCCAACTCTTGTCTTGAATTTAACCCTTAGGTGTATGTCTCCCAAACTGATACTTACAATACCTGTTTTCATCTATGCTATGCTCTGTGATAAAAAGTAGTTGACCTCTTGCTCACTAGCACTATAGTATGTGTATAAAGCATGTTAGCATACTAAAAATGATGAAAAATCCTGTAAATCTGTTTAACCTTGTTTTGCCAGTTTTTTCCCCAAACTTAGATGATGAGTGAGTACCTATTACATAGTAAGGGATGCTAGTTTTTAGCAGATAAACTTTAGGAAGTGACATGAGACAGAACTAAACTGTACTTAATTAATAGAGAAATTAATTACTAGTTTAGGCTAGGTGTAGTGATGTGCCCCTGTAATCACAGTACTCTGAGAGACTGAGGCAGAAGGATTTCAAGTTGGAGCTCAACCTGACCAAATTAGTGACTTAGTGAGACCCTCTCTCAAAATAAAAAAGGACTGAGGATGTATCTCAGAGCAAAGACCATTGGTTCAGTACCAGTACTGAAAAAAATTTGAATGAAAAAAATTACTACCTGAGTGGCCAATTGTTTTTACAAATTCTGTTTGAACTAGTTTTCTTTTAACTCTTTTAGGTAAGAGCTGCATGTTCCAGAATTTTGCTACAGCTTTCTGTGGCCTTTTCATTTTTCTTTTTGTGTCTCTTGTTTTTATTTCCCAATCTTGCCATCATAAAGCTTAGGTCTTTGCTTTAGAATTTTTGCCTGTAAAAATGTTTTATTGAAAGTCCAGAATAAAAATAATTTGCAGTGGGTACTTATTTGCATGTTTAATTCATATTCTTGTAAAAATATTTTAATAGGTTGATAATTTTATTTACCTAAATATACTCCTTAATAAGCAATAAACATATCTAGGATTTTCAGCAAATAAATTTATAATGTAATTTCTAAAACCTTATTTTCATTGCTAAGGAATCAGAAACAACCTGACGAGCAAGTAGAAAACAGTAGGACACCATGGTTATATGACCAAGAAGGAGAAATAGAAAAACCATCTGTCAAGACTGGATTTGCAGTGTCAGTAGAAAAAGCTGCAAATAGTAATCGCAAAAATCAATTAGATACAGGTAGGAGAAGACGCCAGTTTGATGAAGAATCATTAGAAAGCTTTAGCAGTATCCCTGATCCAGTGGATCCAACAACAGTAACCAAAACATTCAGGACAAGAAAAGCATCTGCACAAGCGAGCCTGGCATCTAAAGACAAAACTCCCAAATCAAAAAATAAGAAGAGAAGTTCTGTTCAGCTGAAAAGCAGAGTTAAAAATGGTGGTAAGTACTGGAGTTTGTTGAATGTTGTTCAGCATAAATATTGGTAATTTTCTTCTGGCATGTTGGTATTTAATGTCAGTATTAGAGCCAGCCAGTGGATTAAAGCGCCTGCAAGCAGGCGCAGGGGTTGGGGTTTGATCCCTGGGCCTGCTCTGTCGGCCCTGCCTCTGGGGTGCACTGAGACGGCAATTGAGCAGACACCTATAATCCCAGCTCTTGGGAGGCTGTAAACAGGTGGATCAGAATGAGTTTGAGCTAGTAGTGAGACCCTGAGCACCCTGTAAAGCCTTTCCTAAAACACAGAAAAAGAAGAAAAAGAAAAAAGGTCA